ACCTTTTGGCTCTTATAAATATCTCAATGAACATTTTTATACAAGGTTTTACATGCAAGCATATTTTCATTTATGTTGAGTATATACTTGGAAATAGTTTATACCTGGAAGCTCTCATATGTTGGTGGGCTTTGGGATGGAATTTTGAGGAAATGGTAGATCATATGATAGCTCTATATTTAATTAGTTGAGAAAATATGAGACCATTTTCCAGAGTTATTGCACCATTTGGCAATCCCACCAGCACTATATAAGGATGCCAATTTCTTTACATCCTTGCCAACACTTCTTGCTGTATGACTCTTTGATTCTAGTCAAGTGAATGGTATCTCATTTTAATTTTAATTCGCATTTCTGCCACCTGTGGCCAGCGCAGGCAGCTAAACTAGAGTCGTTCTAGTGAATTTCCTAAGGTAGGAAATAAAACACAGACACACAATTTACCTTTAAATTCAAGCCCGGGACAGCTCTTCTGCCCTCAGCCTCAAACTCCCCAAATGGGAGAGCAAGGAATGTCGTTACAGGCTGGTGAGAGAGAGGGAGCACATTTCAGAGTGGACTTTTATTGGGGGGACTCTAGATTCTTTAGAAATTTCCATCCAGTGAAGGTCAAGGGGGGCAGGGTTACAAGGACAGGTGAGGTAACTCCATCCCTGGGGATATAGGAAGGCATGCCCATGCACGAAGACACATTTGGCTGCATTTTTACTACTCTCAAGATGGGGGCTAGTCTGCAGCCACTTGAAAGTGGCCAGATCTTGGGGAATGACCAACAGTTCCTGAAGCCAATCAGGAGATGAAAACACTGGTCACATGACGTGGCAGCCTCCCACACATTTCCTTCATCACTTCTGAGTCCAAGCATTTTTTCATGGCCATTTATGTATCTTCTGTGGAGAAATATCTATTCAGATCCTTTGCCTATTTCTAATTGTGTTACTTGTCATAGTATTGAGTTATAAAAGTCCCTTAGATGTTCTAAAAATCAATATTTTAAAATTTTATTTGTTCTTTATAGATATATATGACAGTAGGGTATACTTTGACATATTTATACAAWCATGGAGTACATCTTATTCTAATTAGGGTCCCAGTCTTGTGGTTGTACTTGATGTGGGGATTCACCRTGTGTATTCATATATGTACATAGGAAAGTKGTGTCAGGTTCATCTCACTGTCTTTCCTATTCCTGTCACCCTTCCYTCCCTTYACTCCCCTTTGTCTAATCCAATGAACTTCTATTCTTCCCCTACKTTGTCCAATCTCTTACTACATACACACAATTTGTGAATATTTTCCCCCATTTCAGTGGGTTGTCTTTTCATTTGCCTGATGGTGTCTTTTGAAGTACACAAGTTTTTAATTTTGTAGAAATCCAATTTTTTATTTTATTTTGTTACTCTTGCTCTTGATATCATATCTAAGGATGCTTTGCCAAATCTGGGCTCTTGAAGATTAACTCCTTCTTTCTTCTAAGAGTTTCTTAGCTTTACATCTTAAAAAGGTTCGTTAATTTTGAGTTTTTTTTAAATTAATACCAGAGATTGAACCCAGAAGCACTTAACCACTGAGCCACATACCCAGCCTATATATATATATATATATATATATATATATATATATATTAGAGAGAGGGTCTCACTGAGTTGCTGAGGCTGGCTTTGAACTCATGATCCTCCTGCCTCAGCCTTCCAAGCTGCTGGGTTTAGTTAAATTGTGTACTTGGCATGAGGAAGGAGTGCAACTTCACTCTTCTATCTGTGGACATCCAGCTGTCCTACCAGTGGTATTATCCCCATTGAAAAGTCTTGGCACCCTTATTGAACATTGTTCACTATGGATATAGTGGGTTATTAATGGATGCTCAATTCTGCTTCATTGATTATTTGTGTACCCTTGTGTCTATACCACACTGTCTTGATTATCATTGTTGTGTAGTAAGTTTTGAAATCGGGAAGTATGAGTTCTACTTTGTTGTTCTTTCAGGATTGCTTTGGCTATTCTGGGTCYTTCAAAAGTCCACATAAATTTTTAAATCAGCTTGCCAAATCTACAAAGAAGCCAGCTGAATTTCTGATGGGATAGCATTAAATGTGTAGGTCAGTTTGGRATGTATTAACACCCTGATAACCCATGGATATGGCATGTTTTCCCATGTATTTAGGTTTAATTTCTAAGTTTAATTTTTATCAAGAATGTTCTGTTGGACCATTTCTCATTCTCACTGCAGCCATGACATGTAACACTCTGGATTTGAACTCATAACTACCTTGCCCCAAAGCCAACCAATGTTTGTCCCTTATAGTTGCTGTCTTGAAAAACAATACTACATCTGAAAACTTCTTGCACAAAAGAAAAGTTTTCCTAGAGATCTGAAGTATGGAAGATTGGGAAAGATGCTGGCATGGGGCTCAGGCAATCCAAGATTTTGCAAGCTGAGCTTTGGGAGCAGGAGAGATGGCCAAATGTAGCATTATATAGTAAAAAAARAAATCCAAATTCATAGTGCAGCATTGCTAAAGGACCGGTGAAAGATTTGAAAATCCAGAGAATTCCAGTGCAGGGAAGGATTAATATGAATCACTGTGGGTCCTGATTTATATATTTGTTTATCTATTTATTCATTTACTCAGTGTGTGTGTGTGTGTGTGTGTGTGTATGTGAGAGAGAGAGAGAGAGAGAGAGAGAGAGAGAGAGAGAGAGAGAGAATGGTCCTGGGGATTGAACCTAGGGGCACTCTGCCACTGAACAACATCTACAGCCCTTTTTATATTTCATGTTGAGACAGCGTCTCATAAGTTGCTGAAGCTGACCTCAAACTTTCGATTCTCCTGCCTCAGCCTMCCAAGTCATGGGGATTACAGGTATGCAYCACCACACCTGGCAACATAGCTCACTGTGGAGGAGAGCCCTTATTTCAAGGAGTTAACAAGATTTTTCTTTAGTGTTTCAGCTAATACATGTCATATGAACATTCTGATAGGACCACAGAGGATGGGGAGATGGCCAATGTAACATTATATAAAAAAAAAAAAAGACACTAATAAGATGGGATGTTTTAGAATAAATATCCTCTCTGAACTAATTTAGAGTGGAGGTGACTCACAGAATCTTCCACATCTTTCAAGATGCCACAGCAGCAGCTTTCCTGCTCTCCTACATCTCTGTGGGCAGGCCTTTGCTTTCACAGTAMCTAGATGAAAGAGGACGGAGCACTTTGTTCAGAAAAGTGGCACCAGCTCCAAGCCACCGTTCTCAGACCTCTCTGGATGGGCAAAAGCCAGGTGAAGATAATTTGTGTCCCATGTGAATGCTCACTAAAGGTTGACCTCAGCAGAGGAAGAGTTTAATAACCAGGTGGATAGGGTGACCCATTCTGTGAGTAACAGTCAGCCTCCTCTCTTTCTATCCTCCTCTGTCACTGTGCAGTGGCTTGTGAACACAGTGGCAGTAGTGGCAGGGATAGAGATTATRCATGGYCTCAGTGACATRGAYTTCCACTCACTAAGACCGACCTGGCTGTGGCCACTGCTGAGTGCCCAATCTGCCACCAGTAGAAACCAAGGCTGAGCTCCTGCTGTGGCATCATTCCCCAAGGGGATCAGCCACCTATCTAGTGGCAGGTTGATTACCGTGGGCTTCCCCCATTGTGGAAGCACCGGCATTTTGTCATGACTAGAATAGATACTTATTCTGAATATGAATTTGCACTCCCCTGCACATGTTTCTGCAAAATTTATCATTCGTGGACTTACAAAGAGGGTCCTATCTACCAACATGCTATTCCACAAGGCATTGCTTTTGATCAAAGAACTCACTTCACAGCAAATGAAGTGCAGCAGTGGGTCCATGCTTGTAGAACTCACTGGTCTTCCCAGGTTCTCCATCATCCTGAAGCAGGTGTCTTGGTGGAATGGTGGGAATGGCCTTTTGAAGTCACAGTGACAGCCCTAGCTAGGGGGCAATACCTTGCAGGACTTGGCAAGGTTCTCCGGGAGGCTGTGTATGTTCTGAACCTGTGTCCAGGAGTGATGTTGTTTCCCCCGTTGATTCCACAAATCAAGGGGTGGAAATGAGAGTTGCACCACCCACTTTTACTCCTACTAACCCAATAGCATAAAATTTGCTTTCTCTTCCCACARTTTTATGCTGTTCTGGCCTACAGGTCTTGATTCTGTCAGGAGACACAACTGTGATTCACTGAACTGAAAATTAAGGCTGCCACTGGCCACTTTGAGGTCYTCATGTCTGAGTCAAAAGGCAAAGAAGGTAGCCACAGTGATGGCTGGCATGACTGATCCTGACGACCAGGGGAAGTGGACTACTGCACTACGGTGGCCGTAAGGATGAGCATATCTGGAACACGGGCAATCCTTCAAGGTGTCTCTTAGCATTATCATTCCTTGTGGTKAAGGTCAATAGGAAACTACAACAGCTAATCCATGCAGGGCTATGATGCCCCCGACCCTTTAGGAAGGCAGAGTAGGACCTCCCACTAGGCAGGACCCAGGACCCACTGAAGTGTTTGCTCAAGGCAGAGGGATCAAAGAATAGGTAGTAGAAGGTGAGGGAGGAGAACACTGAGCAAAACTAAAGTGTTTCCTTCTTGCCTTGAAGATGGAAGAAACCCTGAGCCTATTTTTAAGTTGAAGGGAAAAGGAGAAAGCAAAGAGCCCTGGGGAAGAAGGGGCTGTCTTAGAGGTAGGAGGGGACAGCCATCCTGGTGCATACAGAGGACGCCTGACTATGCTGTGAAGTAGGAGGCCAGGGGTATAGGGCAGACAGAAAACACCATCTACAGCAAAAACATAAACCCTATGAGGCAGGTAAGGGCAAAAGAGGAAGGGATTTCAGAAACAAAGATGACAACATATTTCAATTAATGGCCACAGAGATAAAAATATTTTCATGCAGAATATTTATTCCAAATGTTTTGTTGTGTATTTAACAATGTATCCAATGCACATTTTTTACATGGAGCAACATCACCACGTCTGGCTTTGATTACATACTCAACATTTTAACTTTTCAACTTTCCATGAAAATTTACATCAGACATGGATCCGTGGGATGTGCCAAGTMAATCATTCTTAAATACAGGTTGACTGTCCTTTAAACCACTTGGAAGACCACTGCCTCCTATTTGCTTCTGCATCTTCTAGATAGTAGCCCTCTATGYTCTTTATAAACAGAAGCATGAGCTTTTGAAGAACTGAAATATAGTATTTACACAKAAGGTGATGAGAAGTGTTTCATGATATACAAATTAATATAGCACAAGATACTGTGTAGAAAAAAATAAACTTACAGTGAATAAATATAAACCAGTTTTATATATCAAGGAATATGTGGAGTATAAAAAGTAGTCCTTATATATATATACATATACACATATATAAAAATGTGTGTATGTCCTAGAGTATAAATATGCTATATACTTAAATACTTCATGTGAAAGAACATATGCAGCATCTATTTTTAGTTTTTCACATTAAAATACTGGTGGCAGTTGGGGTCCCCTCTGATCTCCAGAGATCCCGGGATCCTCCTCCCACTCCAAGGRTAGACACACCAGCACAGTCCTGCCTCTCCATCCAGCGATGTCTCACACTGCAATGACAAGACCAAGGTCAAGAGCAGCAGACAAGGAGCGGACAGGGAAGGTGTGGCTCTGGCCAGCCCCCTCCCTGAGCGCAGCCAGAGCATTACAGAGCCACCCACCAGCCAAGAGGGCAAATCCAACACCCTCCTCACTCTCAACACATATGGAGACAATGGCTGAGTAGCATATGTGATAAGAACTTAGTAAATGTGTGAAAGACAGTACTGTGACATCTGTCTGCTTCATGGTCCCAGTGCCATAGGAGCCCAGTCCCAAGGCAACATATCCCATGTTGGAACCACTGTTCCCTGTGTGTTATGAGGCAGCGCCTAGACCTCAAGTTTCTCCCCCCCCCCATTAAAAAAAAATACCCTCCAGAATGTGTGCTTCTCTGAGTCCTAAAAGCTTCCTCAAAATTAAGTCTGGGTTTGTTTGGTCACATTTATTATTTACAAGTMACAAATATGTTATTGTGCTTTATTTTACAGGTTGTTTCCCCTTGTGGGGGAGAAAAAGTAACAGATGTCCAAAGAGACTTTCTCTTCCAAACTGAGTTTGTTTTGTTTCTCTAGCATTATAGGCCAGGAACCGATATCACAAGTGTTAGGAAACCTGTGAAGCYCTCTGTCTCCTTTGCTTGCTGAGTGATTGAGCAAGGGTCAGCTCCAGACTGCTGGCCCAGCATAGGGTTTCCTCCATTGGCTTTGGAATATTGAGAAGCTCATGAGACTACCTTGGAACTAGCTTTTCCTGATACCCACAGGAAACCAGCTTAATAAAACCAGCGATGGTATACATGTAGGACTAAACATTCTTTACCATGGATGTGGGGCAACGGTGGTTATCCCTATGAGAACACCCAGTAATAAGGCCACCTACCTGTTTGCTGTGATAAAATCCATTCTTGTTGCAGTTTGGCAGATAAAATTTGTAAATTTCTTCTCCTGCTTTCTGTTGTGCCTTAGCTAATCTCTCCAGCACTTTGTAAAGTTCTCGTCGGCAAGGCTGCTAAAAGAAAAATTTGATTAGAATGAATACCAGAAAAAGTAAATTATCATCTTAAATGATAACCAATTGGGGTTTTGTATGGGCCAGAGCAGCCCCAATATTTAKCCATGAGGTCCCAGGACCCAGTTCCAAATTACCAGCAGTCTCTAGGACTTCTTTTCCCACGTGTGCAAGGGGTTTGGTCTCTGACTTGAGCTTTTAGGATAAAGGATGGGAACATCACTCCCTCCCTCACTGAATGCTTTCTAAACACCTATACAGAGACATCCCCTGGCAAAAGTCTAGCCAATACCATAAAATCTTTCTGTACTCCTCCTGCCACTTGTTGGCACCCACCATTTGGTAGAAATGAGAGTGAGAAAACAGAGAATTTAACAGCAGAGACTTTCAGATTTTGAAAAACTGTGCAATCTACAAAGTTATTTCACATAATCCAAATCAAGTGAGGAACAAGGCATCCTGAGATAAGAATTAACTTTCCTCCATTTGTCATCATTTCCAGGTGAAATTCTGAAGCATCCAAAAAATAATTCAGTATTTCACTCTTCTGTACATGCATATGTCTGTGGTAGTGATTTTCTTTCTTTTATGCCTCGCCCAACTCCAGAATGAAATTAAGTCACTCCAACTTTGGTTCTCTGTCGCCCTCGAGTGGTAGAATTAAAATGTGATGGGAAGTTATTTTTTAATGGGCTTCGAGTTTCAGTTTGGGAGATGGATGATGATGAGGGATGGTGATGATGGTTGCCATATGTACTTAATGAGACAGAAGCTTGTATTTACAATCGCTAGAATGATAAATTTTATGTATATTTTACCATAATTTTTAAAGGGGACAAAAAGATACGACAGGAGGCAGGATAGTTAGGTTCTTGTGCTTAGCTTCAGCCAAGTATAACCCAATGTTCTTTAGTGATTTTCTACTCTGACCCCTTGTTTAGGGATGAGCTCAGAGACATGAAGTAAYCTGCCTAAAGGTACTTAGCAGCAAATGCATCTAACCATAGGGCCTCACCTTCCATTTTTTTATGTCGGCCATCTCACGGGCCCTCATGCTTTTGTAGGTACTGATGGCATTCCAAAGAATGGGCTGGTCCTCGCTGGAGGAGGCCATTARGTGGAAACTCTCTAATAGCTGCTCTTCAGTCATCTCTGCACTCTCAGGAGGCACTCTCTCGGGGACCATGGAGGCCTTCGCTTCTGAAAAAGAAATGCATCAAACTCATGAGCCCTCTGAAAACACCTGCCCTTGACTCCCCAGAGTCACTCCCTTCCCTCAAAACCACCAGGCCAGGATGCAACTATGGTCAGGTTAACCCAGATTTTTGGAGATAGTTTCTGGGAAGAGATCATCTCATGGATGACCCAACAGCAATCCCAGTTCAATTCTAGAAGAAACTAGTTCTGGAGGGTGTTAAGGGTGCCCCATGATTTTAGTTCTAAAGTGGCTGGGAAGGAGCAACATGTAAGTTTGCTGAGGCCAGGAACACCCGGAAGAAGCCAAGGATTAGGGCTCGATTCCTGACCCCATTAGTGAGGAGTCTTAGAACCTCAGATTTCCATCCATAAAATGTGATATCCCATAAACAGGTGGTAGAGTTCATTGAGAGGTAGGGTCTAGAATGCAGCTCCCCTAACCCAAACCAGTAGTCTCTTGTCTTCCAGGGGGCTCTGCCCTATTCACTAAGTGACTTCTCTGTAACCAAGGTCTTCTCTGCTCCCATCCAAAGAAAGGCAAGTCACTAGACACCTTGGAGATAGAGTCCAAGGACACATGGAAAGAATCTGAGAGAATTAGCTCAAAGGACCTCACCCCTAGCCCAAGGGAAATCCATTTCCTTTGAGGAATGTTGAGACAGCTCCATTTCTTTTACTCTCAAGGACAGAAAAAAACTGTGTTCCCTACTCAGAATAGTCTGGTGCTCCCATACAGATTCCTATTAAGTTATGGAACCTGGAGACTACTCCAAGACCCACACAGGAAGTGCAACCAGCCCAGATGGGAGATATGGGGCTGGAGTAGAGGAAGAGGCATTTCCTAAGCTTCCTACTACAAACAAATCACTGCTTAAATTCAGGAAGCAACTTGATTGTCAAGTTCTTAGGGGCAACATACACATCAAACACTGTTTGTCTATGGCAATGAATGGAAATGAAGTTTTTAGGTTAAATTTTCACATTATGTTCTGTAAACATCTGGGAAGCACATACTGTATCCACAGGACATATATTACAAAGGACATTCCAACCACCTCCTGGAGGGGCCAGCTGGAGGGAGTCCCATCCTAAACCTTTCCAAATGAATGCACCAGCCCCTGGGGCTGTCACAGGCAGGGGAGAGGAGGGCTAAGTCCCCACAGTCTCATGGCCTCCACTGTCTTGATCTCAAGAGCTCAATGGGCCAGGGTGCCTCCTGTGGGTTCTCTTCCCTATGCTCCACTAAGCTGTGCGCCCTTGGGCCTCGGCCTTGACCTTTTTCTGCAGGGGCACCTCCCCCCAGGATCCAACAATATTGGGCCTCCACTAAGTGACTGAAGCTCTTTCCCCACTACAGACTCCAGCTTCAAGCACTCCACCTGAGCCATCTGTGACCCACTCACTGTGGGCTTTGGACAAGTCCCTGTCGGGCTTCCGGCCTCTAAAATATCCCAGGACAGGGGCTATAGTACCCTTACCTTCTTTTTCAATGCTGGAGAGTCCACTAGCGGTGGGGGTGGCAGGCTCAGGCACGCAGGCGCCCTGACCCCGGGTGAGAGCGTGCAGGGGCCGAGGTTCTCCCGGCAGTGCACGGCAGCTGAGTCCCCTGGCACAGCGTGCAGTGGCCACGCCGCAGGCAGCGCCTAAAGGCAGGGCACACATAGGGCAGCAGCCGCAGCCAGCAGGCCGGGAGAGTTCCCGGCATGAGGAGGGCACTGGTGGGCAGAGCGCGAGCCTCTCTGCGGAGCAGGGCGCACAGTGCCAGGGTTGGGTCGAGCTGGCAACCGTGCTGACCTGGACAGCCAGCAGGAGCAGGAACGGCCAGAGGCCGGCAGCTGGGACCTCAGGCATAGCAAAGTGAGGGTAGCAGGCAGTGAACGATGCTCTCTGGGCAGGTGGCAGTGGCACGGTGGTCAATGCTCTCTGGGCAGCTGGCAGTGGCTTGATAGGTGTCCAATTCTGGGTCGCAGTGGGCAGTGCACGATGCTCGCTGGGTGCAGCCCGCACCTTATAAAGGGCGCYGTTCACTCCACTTGGACTAGAAAGTTAATGATTGCCAGCGCGGCGTGCTAGGAGCCCAGTGTTCAAAATAAGTTTGTTTTGCTCCTGCTTTCTGCGCAAACCGTGGGTGGAAGAAGGGTAAACGGTTCCGGTTTCAGACAATGTTTGTCCTGTTGTTATGGGGGTTAAGGCCTGGAGCTAAAGTCCATATCTAACAACAAGCATGCAATCAGATGGGGGATGGCACTTGTTTTTGTTGAAAGACAGTCATCTTGGTTAGCCAATGCTCTCCTACTGGACTCAGGGAAAGCCTGAGCATTCATATGGGGAAACCAAGGCCTGGGGTTGGAAGGTTGGACACATGAAGAACAGGTCTCTGTAAGCTTCAAGAAACATGAGTACGGAGTGGWTTCTCTATGGCTAAGCCCAGAAGTGCCCCCCTTGTTCTGCAGGAAGACTCCTCCTAGCAGTCAGGGAAACCCACAGTTTACAGGGAGGTTTCTGCCAAACCCATCAAATCTCACTTCAGCCCCAAGAGAAGGACCTTGTTAACTTCACCTCCAAAGAGACATGCTCAAAGCCTTAAGGAACAATCCAGGTGCTGGCAATGGAGCCAGGACCTCAAAACTCCTTCTGACATTATGGCTTAGGCCAAATATTTATTAATATCAAATATGAAATCTTTTCTTAGGTAAAAATTCCTATTTCTTGGTTATTCTCTTAGATCACAAGGGAGGAAAAGAAGTCAGATGCCTTTAAAGAAAATCAGAAGTGAGCTCATCTCCAGGAGCTGCAGGCTCTCTCTCTGGCACCTGGTCCRTGGCTTCTCAGGGAAAAAACTATGATCAGGAAAGTGTGGAACCCTGACTCTGGGACTCCAGGAGCAGCATTTCCTCCAGCCCCACATTTCCTCACCTGCCTGTCCCCATCTTTGCTGGTCTAGTCACAGGCCCAGAGCAGCCCCCAGCCCTGGCCCTGCCCCTGTTTGCCCTTCCCTTCAGGTTCTTTAGGAGTGGTATTTCAGGCCTGGGGAGTCCCTGGAAGGTGGTTGGAGTGGCAAGCATCTGTCCAGTCCCTTGCTTTACATTAATGGACTCTGAGGCCAGGGGGTGAAGAACATTGCAGGTCAAAGCCACAAAGGCTTTTATGGCACACCTTGCACTACTGGTACACTGTGGTGCACTCCTGTTCATGTTATCTGAGTCTTAACAAAATGCCTTTCTCTGTAACTTGGCTAAATAAGGAACTGATATTCTTCCATTTCAGGGAAACCAGCACTAATGCTTCCTCCAGAGCAAGTGTATGGGGAAGTGACAATAGTGACTAATGTACTTCTAGAACTTGAGGTTCATTGAAAACCCTAAAAGATAAGGAATACAATACCAGGGACCAGGGAGATGGGTCAGGGGGGCACTATGATAGCTCACAGTAGAACACCTGCCTGCCRAGTAGTCTCCTGAGTTGGGAGTTAAGGATTAAGGAGGCTTTAGAAGGTGTGGGGCTGAGGGAAGATATCCAAGATGGGTGTGGAGGAGTTAGTAGCAGAGGAACATGGCCCCATCACACAGAAGCTTGCAAAGTGTTCAGGAAGACTAACCAAGATGGTCCCTGTATCCAACCCCAAGGAAAGGTCCTCCTTTGATTCACCAGAGAAGGTTAGAGGGAGTTGCCTCTGACCCTACTTCCTGGTGCTGCAGAGATGGACACAGCCCAAGGCCACCAATGAGGGGAGCCATATGGGAAAGAGGAAAGGATACTCAAAGGACAAGTCTCMCTGGCCCTGGGCTATATAGCCCACAGAATTGGAGACAGGTGTGAGATTATGTTGTGCTCCAATGTAAAAATGCACCAGCCAATCAATCTCTACTCTGAAGCCATCCTGCTCACAACCTAAATGTCTATTGCCAGGGGCTGGATAACTAAATCTTTGGGGGCATCTTTTCACTGGGAAATATGCAGTTATTAATGAGGAAAAAAGCAGCTCTATATTATATTATAGAGAAAAAAATCTTCAAGATGAGTACTTTTTCAAATTAAATAAAATCTCCAAGCTCAGAATGAGAAGGTACAGAATATGCCATTGTTGATTGTATAATAAAAGTAACTGTGACTCTAAATTTATGGAATATCTTGAGAAGACTACATGAAAACAGATATAATGCCCACTTGGCAGTAGGGTAGTGTGTGAATTTAAGTAGCTAAGGGWCATTCTGGACTTTTTCTGTATCCTTTCTGGATTTGTATTATATACTTAGTTTCTCTGTTACTTTATCTACCTAAGAATAACCAAATTGAAATTAACTTATTACCTCCTATCCTAGTCACTCCCCTGGTTCCCTGGACCCAAGAAAGTGCCTCAGTTTTGCCATGTTCATTTTTGTTCTACCTGGAAAGTCTCAAAGAGCAACAGCTCCAGCATCTGTTCAGCAACAATCAAAATAAAATCCATCAAAGTAATTGTACTTGGAAGTTCATGATCATGTTTGTCATTTTTTATTGAGATTTCAAATTTACTTTTTTTTTCTTTTTTTTTATTGGTTGTTCACAATCAAATTTACTTTTAATATTTTTTTCTTTAAAATTAATATTTTAAATTTAAATTTTAATTGTTTTAAATTAACACGTTTGATGTAGGTCCCTATAAAATAATGTCATTTGTAGAAGAATTTGTGCTTTGKATTTTCTGTTCTCTTTGACTTCCTCAATTTGTGATCACCATCCACACTTTGAACAATTTCTTAATGAAATACATGAATGAGAAAATTTTTTGGCAAATCCTTGGGGCCCACCTAGTGTGTGCCAGTTAGTTTGCCTGGGCCTGGACAGTTCACYCCATCATGCACTTACCCTCCTGCCCTCCCTCCCTCCCTGAGGTCACCCTCATTTTGCACGTAGTGGATCTTCCCTGAAGATCGATTTCCCAAAGTTTCCATTGCTTGCCTCATAGCATCAAACAAACCAAACAGCCACTAAACCTAAGAGTTCCGCTTTTCCTCCCAACCCTCTGTCAACACAAATGAACTCAGCCCTTTCCTCCAGGCCCATTTGGACTCTCTGTTCATGTGTCAGTCCTCTGTGGGGTGAGCACAATAGTGACTCAGCCACCTGTGACTTGCTCCTCTACTAATCCTAATCCTAATCCAGGCCAGAGACTCCAAAACTCCAAAACTTCCAACTTTAATGAACCTACTCCCCTGTTCATTAAAAACAACATAATTTTCCTTCCACACCACAAGACTCTGGTCTTGCTGTCCTCATGCCTGAATTTCCATTGTCCCACCGACCTCATCTCCAGAGCCCATGATCTCTTATATCCATCCCAGAAGCTTTCTTCCAAGACTTGTCCTGATAACCCCCACCCTCCTGTGACCAAAGACAGCAGAAGGTATCTTTCTTCCTTCCATTTTCTCCATCATGCATTTTCTGAGCTCCTGTCTGCTTTCTTTGTCCCAAACAATGGTAGCCAAATGGCATGGAGGGAGCTCTTCTTTCAGTGTGGTGGGTTTGGAGCTAGGTTTGTGGAGGTAGGTCATGAGAGACCCCAGACTGAGCAGCAATCTGACATATTCACAGTCCTAGTGGGAGGAGGGAGTCTCTTGAGGGTTATAAACTCATCCTGCGATGATTGTGGTGGTGAAACAGGCCAGAGACCGGCCTCCAGAAGACCCTTGCCATAATTAAGCCTCTCCTCTTGTCAGATCAGCAGGATGTCTGCAGAGGTTATTGCGGTTGGGAGTTTTCCTCTTTCTTACAAATGCCAGGTTTGCACACAAAAGATGTGACAGAGTAGAGTCTCTAAGCTTGTTTTAAAAAAAAGATATTATCTCTGTTTTCTTAGTAAAAACTTGTGAAACCTGTGTCTGGTCTACGGRATGGGATCAGAGAGCACTTGTCATATGAACCTCTTAGGTCTCCTTAAAAGGGTGTAAGGTTCAAAGAATTTCTATACTCCATTGTTCAGAGGAAGAATTCTTAGGCGAGAGCCACCTCTGGACCCTGCAGTCAATAAACCTGCTTCCTGAAAATTCCTCAGGTGCCCAGCCTCTTCTGTCCTACTTCCGTGGCAAAGAAAAGCATGCAGCATGTTCAGGCACCTCTGGAAAAAGTGCCGCCACGGCTGGTCCTGAAACACACATGGGACTCCTCCGAGCAACAAAGAATGAAGGTGCCGTGTGAGAGCACAGGGATGGGAGCCGGTGAGGGCAGGGAACTGGAGAGAGTATGGTGTTCTGCTGGTAGCCAGAGGATCCTCCTGTCTGTGGGCAACATGGAGTAGGAGAACATTAGAAAGGGGCCCTGACACATCACCAGGCTGGGGAGCAGCTCTGGAGACCCTCTTCCAGCCTCCTTTTGGAGCATCAGCCAGACACCCAGATGGAACGGAGGATTGTTGAGACACAGCCCCATCCTCAAATATCTAGAAGGGAAAAATAAACAGATGCTATAAAAAATGTCCTGCAGCTTGTAATAAATGCATGAAGGAGAGAAAAGGGCCATTGGGAGGAGGGCATGGAGGGATGCTTTCAATAGATGCTTCGGTGCTGGAAAGAATCTCTAGCAGAGTCAGAGAATGCAGCATGACTATGGTGGGACAAATAAAGGAAGCCAGAGAGAAGGGATCCAMGTGTCACCTCAAGGACTCCCTAGTTACCTGTATAACCCTTGTGCTACTGTGTGGTCTTTGGGAAGTTGTCAGTGACTCTAAGGGCCCTTTGAACATCCAGAGCTTGAAGACCATTCTTAGGCTCAGTTCAATCTTCACGGCTATGGTCCTGTCTCCCTTTAACCCCTTCTCTGTTGTCTGAGACCTGCCGTAAATGGCCTCTCCTCCCCACAGCCTTCCCTGGGTCCCAGGGAGATTTAGGCAGCTTCCATAGCTTCCCAAAGCATGAGGATGCATGGTGTTGTAGTCATGCTGAAGATCTAAACAAGCTCACACCTCTGTGTGTGTGTGT